TCATCTGCTTTGTAGCTCTGCTGTTAGATAGATACACATTTAGGATTATTATATCTTGGCAAATTGACTTGTTTATCATTATATAATATCTTTCTTTATCACCCTGGTGGTATTCCTTGTTCTGAATTCTGTTTTGTCTGACTTTAATATAGCCACCCTGGCTTTTTTATTATTAGTATCTTCATGGATACCTTATTTTTTTTTTTTTTCAAAGTAAATTCTTGGTGTATAGCTTGAGTACAGTGGCTATTCACAGATATGATCATAGTGCAATACACCGTCAAACTCCTGGGCTTAACTGATCCTTCTACCTCAGCCTCCTGAGTAGCTGGGACTACAGGTACATACCACTGTGGCTGGCTTATATATTTTACTGTTAGCTATATTTTTATGTTAAAAGTGTCTGTCATGTACATAGCTTAGAGTTGGGTCTTGTTTGTTATCCAGTCTGACAATCTCTGTATCTTACTTGGCGTATTATCCATACATATTTAATGCAATAATCAATATAGTTTCTTTCAGTTCTACCACTTATTTTTTGTCCATCCCTCCACTTTTTTGGCTCTTCTATACCTGCTTTTCTGCTTTCTTTTGGATAATTTGAATATATTTAAATATTCTATTTTAATTTATCAGTTGGCTGTTTGGCTATATTTGCATATTTTTAGCAGTTTCTCTAAGATTGCATTGAATATACCTTTTGCAGTCTACTTAAAGTTAGCATTGTACCACTTCAATGAAATGTAGAAACTTGGCTACTATATAGGTTTATTTTCATTCCTTCATTCATTTTGAGACGGAGTTTCACTCTTGTTGCCCAGGCTAGAGTGCAATGGTGTGATCTCAGCTCACTGCAACCTCTGCCTCCCGGATTCAAGCGATTCTCCTGCCTCAGCCTCCCGAGTAGTTTCACTAGGGGCAGAAACTCCGCCCTAATTTCTGTCTCCTTTTTTTCTAAGACTAAAGCATCACCACACCAGGCTAATTTTTGTATTTTTAGTAGAGACAGCGTTTTGCCATGTTGGTCAGTCTATTCTTGAACTCCTGACCTCAGGTGATCCACCCACATCGGCCTCCGAAAGTGCTAGGATTACAAGCGTGAGCTACCATGCCTGGCCTCTGAATGCTTTTAATATTTTCTTTTTATCATTGGTTTTCAACAGTATGATTATCACATGCCTTGGCATGGTTTTCTTTATGTTTATTTTGCTTGGGGTTCTTAGAACTTCTTGAATCTGTACATTTCTGGTTTCATCAAATGTGGAAATGTTTTGGCTATGATTTCTTCAAACATTTTTTGTCCCCACTCTTCTGTTCTCAATTTAGACCACACACACACACACATATATATATATGTATATATAGGCTAAAGCAGTCCTTCTGCTTTAGACTCCCAAAGTGCTGACATTATAGGCAGTCGCCACTGTGCTTAGCCATGGGTTTCGTTTTTAATATTTCCCTTTCTTTTCTCATCATTTTCAAGTTTTCCTCAGTCTTTCTCAATATATGGAACATATTTCTAATAGCTGTTTTAATGTCCTTGTCTTCTCCTTCCCTCATCTTTCTCATGTCTAGGTCTGTTTCTACTG